TTGTCTGTGTATTTACTAGTTTGTATCTGCTTGTACCATTAATAATTGGAACAACAAAGAGGTATATGTTAACCTCTTATTTTAATGGTTGATTTTTAAATTTCTCTATTATTCCTTTGTATATTTAGTGATGTTTTGTTAGTGCATGCATGTTTATTATCTCTGTGTAGTGATCTTATCTGTTCTTTATAGTGCTTTTATTGTCTTTTTTACTTATAGATATTAATATAGTTAGCTCAGTTTTCTTTTGGCTAGCATTTACCTGGTATATATTTTCCCATCTTTTTACTTTCAATTTTCCCTTCAATTTCTGTTTTAGATGTGTCTCTCATAAATGGCACATAACTGGATTTTTTCTTTTATCCAGTCTGTTAATCGCTGTATTTCAAAGGTAAATTTTGCTCATATATAAATTTCATATTCATTGCTATACTTGAGCTCGTTTTTATCATTTTACCTTTTGTTTTCTCTTTGTCTCAGTTTTTTTCTGCACTTAATTTTTCTTCTTGCCTTTTAATTTTTGTTCTTAATTTGTTTTCTTCTCCTCATTACTGATTCTGCAAGATCCCATTGCAAGCAAGCTGGCTGTTAACAGGGTTAGTGTTGGAAACAACAGCAATCTATGGTGGAAGGTGGGAATCGGGGTGGGATATTACTTTTCTGAAAGGAGTCAGATTGGCAAGTGATGGGGAGGAGGTGGCAGGGAGTTGACAGAGTACATGGCTGATGGACTTGCAAAAATCTTTTTGTGAGTATGAGACAAGCATGTCTGATGGAACTGGAGGGAAAGGAAGTAGGAGCGTGAGATGAATGAAGGCTTAAATAGAACCCAAACGGACTAGGTAAAGGAATTGAACAAGTGTAAGTAACAGGATTTATGGGTGACAGTGAGGGTTCAGCTGGTTATAGACCAGGAATTATGTAGAACCTGGGCATGGGAGCAGACAGAGCAGGCTATAGCATTAGCACAGGTTTGGGATTTTCATGGGCAGTTGTGGCAGAAGGATGAAGGTATACGGATGCAGAAGGTACTGGTGAGAGTGGTTCAAATGTTAAGCCATCTGGAGACCAGGATGGGTATGGAAGGAAAATAGATCAGCAGGAGGCAAGTGGACCAAGAGAAAATGTGGGGCACAAGAGATTGTGGTCTTAATAAGGTTGAAGAACAGATATAGCAGGAGTAAGCTATGGTAGGAAACTGGGAATTCTTGAATTTAAGATTTCAGAGGGGACAGTTCTGGTTGGTCAGGTCCATAAATGAAAAAGAAAGGGAAGATGTACAATGTTAGTAGTTCTACTTCCCTGTATTTTGATATTACTTGGTCTCATTATTATGCCAACGTGCCTTTCTCATCACAATATTCTGCTCCTTCTCCACAAGCACCAGATTTCTCATCTGGTATTGTTCTCGTTTCTAGTGTACCTGTGCTAGCCTTGGTTTTTACAGGTAACTGATAATATCTCTTTTATCCAGGAGCCACTGATCTTTTGCCCAGTGTTTGAGCCATAATCACACATATGGGAATTCATTTCCACAATGCTTTTGATTTGTCTGTTTAGTATTTTTAATTGCTTTGGTTATAATTCTGCCTGGACTGAGCCAGTAGAGCACCATCTCTAGTATCAGATTGCCTGGGCTTGAATCCCTGCAATTTCATTTACTTGCTCATTATTCTTGGCAAGTTAGCCTAACCTCTCCTGAATTCTCACCTATACAATGGGGGTAATAATAGTCACTCACTCTTGGTGTTGTGGCAAGGATTAAATTAGTTAACATATGTAAGGTACTTGTTTGGCATATAGTCAATTCTCATTAAAGGATACTGTTGGGAGTGATAATGACAGTGATCAGCAATATTGGCAGCATATGCAAAACTACATACCAGATATTGCATTAAGTGATAGGACAGATACAGAGGAGAAGATTGAAAAAGTCTTTCTTTTCTTTTTTTTTTTTGGAGATGGAGTCTAGCTCTGTCACCAGGCTGAAGTGCAGTGGCATGATCTCAGCTCATCGCAACCTCCATTTCCCAGATTCAAGCAATTCCCTTGCCTCAGCCATCTGAGTAGCTGGGACTACAGGTGCTTGCCACCACACCCGGCTAATTTTTTGTATTTTAGTAGGGACCGGGTTTCACCATGGCCAGGATTGTCTCCTGACCTTGTGATTCGTCCAACTCAGCCTCCCAAAGTGCTGGGATTACAGGTGTGAGCCACCACACCTGGCTGAAAAAGTCTTTGTTTTTATGGAGAATATATATTCTCCTCAGGGATAAGAACTAAGAAGACTTCCCTGAGACTATCTAAGAAAGGGTATGTGAAAGAGGCTTAATATCTTATAATTCAATATAGACCAGGAAGTATACAAGTTGAGGAAATATTGAGGTTTCAGGAACCTATATAGATTTTCCATGTTTATGTTTTCTACTGTCTTGTAGTAAAGAAAAAAAAAAAAGCAATTAGTAAAGAAAAAAAAATGAAAGGGGCTTGCAGTCTAGTTTCAAAGGAGAGCAGAAAATTTTTTGCCTTAGGTCCAAACCTGTTTCTTTCCTTATATCTCCTGTTGCTATGAGGGCTGTCACTAGCCAGTCAGTTGTTTAATGTGAACTAGGCATCTTTGACTTCACCTTTTTCATCCTCTCCACTCAGTCTCTCTATTCTGTCAATTCTACTTCTCAAACCTATTCTGTTTTTTCTTGCTGCCTGGCTCAAGCCTTTATCATTTTAGTAGATTCAGCAAGTATTTGTACTGCAAACATTGTGATTGGCCCTTTAACACACATTATTTAATTTTCTTAGCAACGTTTGAGGTGGGTCATTTTGTAGATGAGAAGCCAAAGGATCAGATATAAAATGACTTGTTCTGCTGGGCACGGTGGCTCTGACTATAGTTCCAGCTACTTGGGAGGCTGAGGCAGGAGGATCGTTTGAGCCCAGGAATTTGAATCCAAACTGGGCAACATAGTGAAACTCTGTCTCTAAAAATGAAAAATAAAATGAAATGAAAAATAAAATGACTGGTATAATTGTTTAGAGGCACAGTTAGTAAATCTATGTTGTCTTTTGCTGGAGTATCATAATAATTTCTCTGCCTCATTTGTATTGTTCTCTTTTTTGAGATATAAATGGAAGATATATGTAAAAACAAATTAGAACTATATAAAGTAAAAAGTGAAAGTTGCCCCTTCCCAAATCTACTCTTCAAGAGAAATCAATGATAGTGGCTTTTGTTCTAGACCTTTCTCTTTGTGTATCCAAATATTCAGATAAATACTTTATGATAGATCATTTGTTAATGTCCTACAACTATTGTTTCACTCATACTTTTTATTTCAATACATATGTATCTATCACATTTTTAATGCCAACATAATGTTTTATTATGTGGACATATTATTTGGATTATACTGTTTAATGATTCCTCTGTTAAATAATTGTTTCTGTTCTTACAAGTAATGTTACAGTAACATTCTTGTGCATATACTTTTGCACATTTGTGTGAATATTTCTATTAGGTAGATTCTTAGAAGTCATATTGCTTGTTTAAGTAGTATGCCTATTTTAAAATGTATGTACTACTAAATTGTCCTCTGATTTGTCCTCTAAATCAGTCTTTCATATTATAGCTAGAGTGATATAGCTATAACATGTCTTTGTAAAATGAATTTCGTCATGTGATTTCCCAGCATCAAAAAGCAACATCAGAGATGTTTGATGGATTTCTATTGTCTATGCAATAACTTTTAAAATTAATTTTTTTTTCAGACAGGGTCTTGCTCTGTTGCCCAGGCTAGAGTGGGCCACACGTGATGGCATGATGTTGGCTCACTGTAGCCTCAATCTCACAGGCTCAAACAATCCTCCCACTACAGCCTCCTGAGTAGCTGGGAATACAGACATGTACTATCACACCCAGCTAAGTTTTGATTTTTTTTTTTTTGTAGAGACTCAGTCTCCCTCTGTTGCCCAGGCTGGTCTTGAACTCCTGGGCTCAAGCAGTCCTCCTGCCTGGGCCTCTCAAAGTGCTGGGATTACAGGCGAGCACCTCCATGCTGAGCCAAAATTCTTAAATTTTTAAAAAAGTTTTTAAGAGTTATATAATCTGGTCCCAAACTATCTTTTCTACCATTCTTCCCTACCAGGAAATTTGTCCTCTGATAAGGCAAAATCCACCTCTTCTGTAAAATTTCCCATATATACTGCTCTCTTTCTTCTCTCTATGCAAGATAGAATGAGTTACTTTCTTCCCTAAGTTCTCATAGCACTTAATTTATAATCCCTCTGATGGCATTTAGTGCATCATATTATATTTATGTATGTCTGTCTCCCCTGCTACTCTGTGAATTTCTTAAGGGCAGGAACTGTGTCTTATTCATCTCTGTATCCCCAGCACTTTACACAATGCATGTCAGAGTAGTGCTGAACAAATGTTCATGAATTTGGGAAAGATATCCTGGAGGTAGTCTGCTAGTGCGACGAGAACTTGGAGAGATAGAGTAGGTGGTAGAAGTTTTGTAGCATAGCAGAAAGCTGACTGACTTCTGGGAGAATGGAAGCTGCTCAAAAGTAGAGAACTGGGCCTAAAGTGGCAGGAGCCTTCATGTGCTCCTTCACTGCAGAGACCAGCTGCCTGGTTATTTGGGTTAATGGGCTTAAGATTTGAGAACATTTAAAGTATTAAAAATTGGATGATTGAGGACTCACTTGGTGGAGGGGGAGATTGACTCAGCTGTTTATGTTCTTTCCAGACTAAGATGCGTATACTGAATAACCAATCCTTTTCCTAGAGTCATGAATAACTTTTTCTTTCTGAAAAATCAAAGGCTCTTCATTTTCAGACCATGATTTGGATGGGAGTAGGAAGAGTAAATAGGTCAGATACTTCTACTTTGTCTTTTTAGCTTGGCTCCAGGGGGAAGTAGCCTACTGAAAGGTTTTAGGGCTGTGGGCATATTCTTGAGTCAATCATCTGTGTTAAATTAGTTCTTTTGTCATTTCAGGCAAGTCTGGTAGCGCTCCTTGTCTGGTTGCCTTGAAGAAAGAAGAGTAGAAGAAAAAGTTGAATAAATCATGTCGGAGTTACTGGACCTTTCTTTTCTGTCTGAGGAGGAAAAGAATGTGATTCTCAATGTTCTACAGCGAGATGAGGAGGTCCAAAAAGCAGATGAGAAAAGGATTAGGTAAGAGTTCCTCAAAACGCATAGGGTCCCAGGCCTTCGGGCAATAATATCTGGGCTTTTCCTTATGTCTCCCAACTGACTTTCATAGGAATTTGTATATGTGATGTTTACCACTACTTACTGGGTCACGTTGGGCTCTGAGTTTGTTGCTTTCACAGAAGCAAATAGTCTACTGTCTATCTCTCAACCCTTCTCCATCCAATCTATGTATATCCTGAATCCACTTGTGCTTCTCTTTTGGGTCTTGACAGGCGACTAAAGAATGAGTTACTGGAGATGAAAAGGAAAGGGGCCAAGAGGGGCAGCCAACACTACAGTGATCGGACCTGTGCACGGTGCCAGGAGAGCCTGGGCCGTTTGAGTCCCAAAACCAATACTTGTCGGGGTTGTAATCACCTGGTGTGTCAAGACTGCCGCGTACACGAAAGCAATGGTACCTGGAGGTGCAAGGTGTGCGCCAAGGAAATGTGAGTGTCTCCTATGGCTGAGTAGAGAGGAGATGAGGCCCTGGCTGTGATGAGAATTTCTTTCCTCAGCCTTTATTAGACAAGAACCATTCTTTATCCGTCTGTTATTTTCTTTTATTTCTTCCCAGAGAGTTGAAGAAAGCAACTGGGGAGTGGTTTTATGACCAGACAGTGAATCGCTTTGGTTCTCGCACAGGTAGTGAGATAATCAGGATGTCCCTGCGCTACAAACCCGCAGGTACTGGACCTGTCTAGAGATAGTTCTTGGTATGGAATCCTAGTGTATTCTGACTGGTTATCTTAACTCCATGGGCTCAGCCAGTTTGTGGGGAATGGAAAATTATATTGTCATCCCTTCTGCAAGCATGGTGTATTTCAGGGGATTTGCTATGAGGGTTGTTTCATTTTTCCCTTACTCATAACCACCACCCTGGCATACTTTTGTTTGTCTTGAAGTAAGTAAAAGAGAGGCAGTGCAACAGTCCCACCGTCAGATACAGGTTGGTGACATCTGGCCGGGAAGAAAGATCATTCAGGAGCAGCAGAGGGACCCCAGGTAAGAATCAAGTAATTGTTTAAAGAAATACTTAAAATCTCTCTTTAATTCTTTTGCTATTCATTTTACTTTCTTCCGTTTATAAAATAATAGATGTTCATTATAGGAAAACTTGGAAAATACAGAAAATAGTAAAGGAGGAGGTAAAAAAATCATTCCTAATCTCATTGCTTGTATGTAGACATTAACATTTTGGTATATTTACTTTGTTTTTTTATATTTTGCAGTCAGCTTTCTCAGGTTGAATAGTTTGTTCTTTATAAGAACAATTGGAAGACAAATAGAAATAACACATACTCATTATTAAGCAACAAATGACCCACATTCCTACTACCCCAGTTTTCACATTATGTGAAAATTATTTCATATATCTTCTATGCATATCCATAATGGGTTGACTATATGGATAAACTGAAAAATCTTTTTAATACTGGGATCATAGTATAATAAATTAAAATCATCCTGTTTAATTTTACTTGAATTTAACAGAATAAAACACTGAAATAAAATGAAAGAAAAGCTGATCTTCAGACAAATTATTTTTAATGTAAAAGGTATTAGTTGTTAACATTCCTCTAAGGTTAAGAAAAAATATTATGAAAGCCATTGAGCAGTCGGTCACTTTTTTAGTGTTTTTTTTTTTTGGTAACAGCCTTATTGAGATATAATTCACATACTATACAATTTGCCTATTTTTGATGTACAATGCAATAGCTTTTAGCATATTCACTGAGTTTGCGTGACCATCCCCTGAATCAACTTTACAAAATTTTCATCATCTCAGAAAGAAACCCTTTTAGCTGTCACCCTCCCCCATCCCTAAGCAATCACTGATCTACTTTCTGTCTCTCTATATTTGTCTATCCTGGGTATTTCATATAAAGGACCATATATCTGGGTTCAATATATGGTCCTTTTTGACTGGCCTCTTTCACTTAACATTTTCAAGGTTCATCCATGTTGTAGCATGTATCAGAACTTCATTCCTTTGTATAGCCAAATAATACCCCATGATATGTATTTATCACATTTTGTTTATCCGTTCATCTGTTGAAGAACACTTGGATTGTTTCCACTTTTTGGTTAGTAAGAGTAATGCTGCTATGAACATTCATTAAGTGTTCTGTGTGGATGTATGTTTTGTTTTGTTTGCTTTTCTTTTCAAAATGGAGTTTCGCTCTTGTTGACCAGGCTGGAGTGTGGTGGTGCCATCTTGGCTCACTGCAACCTCCACCTCCTGGGTTCAAGCGATTCTCCTGCCTCAGCCTCTCAAGTAGCTGGGATTACAGGCACATGCCATCAAGCCCACCTAATTTTTGTATTTTTAGTAAGATGGGGTTTCACCATGTTGGCCAGGCTGGTCCTGAACTCCCGACTTCAAGTGATTTGCTCACCTTGGTCTCCTAAAATGTTAGGATTACAGGCGTGAGTCACCACACCTTGCCTGTTTTCATTTTTCTTTTATTTTTTTCTGCTTTCATTTTTCTAAGGTAGATACTTAGGAGAGGAGTTAGTGGTCATTTAAAAAATCTACCTGTTTCAATATTTAACGTTATTAGTGGATGCTTTGCTGTGAAAGAGGAAGCAGTTAGCTTTCTTACACTTCCCCTCAATTATTTCCTTCTATCTTCCCTATTTGTTACTCAAATTATTTTTCCTTTGTCAGGGTTTATAATATTTACATTCTCTTATATAACCATAAAGCATCTGCTTGTTTTATCTGCTTACTTTTAGTTTTATACTTAAAAGGATTGTATGCTTAAAACCAGGCCTTATTTCTGATTTATTTCTTGGTTGTCTCGATTTCATCATTGAGGAGTTCCTTCAAGAAGAGTTTGCAGGTGCTATATTTATTGTATTCTTATATGTTAAGAATGTCTGCCAGGTGCCTTTATACTTGAATGGTATATTGGCTGGATATGTTTTCAGACCACATTTTCTTTCCCTCAGAATGTTGTGGAGTTTATTCCATTGTCTTCTTCCATTGAATGTAACCGTGAAGAAGTCTGAGGACACCTTCACTCTTGTTTTTCTTTCTTATGGATGAGAGAGAAAGAGAAATTAGACTTACCTGAAAATTTTCTTTTCTTTTTCTTGAAGTTTAGTAACTTAACAAGGTTGTAATTCAATGGTGATCATTCTGTATCATCTTCCCCTATATGCAATATGCCCTTGATGAGTTCTTTCTTCATGCCTGGAAAATTTTTCTGTATCATATCCCTGAACTCTTTTTCTTTCTGTTTTATTAGTTAAGTTCTCTACCTCAGAGACACTGGATTTTCTTATCCTCTATTTTTGTCATTTTCTTTTACTATTGAATGCAATAGGAAAAATGGTGAAAGCAATTAACCATGATTAGCCCAACCCATTCCTCCATGCTGTTAATTTGGTTTTCAGTTATTTTCCCTCCCCTCCCCTTTTTCTCCTCCCTTCCTTTTTGCTGGTTCTAATTTATTTATTTGAATGAATTATCTTATTTAGGTTTGTTTGTTCTTTGCTGTAGTCTTCTTTCTCTTATTTTGTTGTTTTATCATCTTGTATTTGAATTCTTGCACTTCATTGAATTTATGTTTTTAGTTCCTCTGTAGTGTAAAGCACTCACAAGAAACCTACTTGTTTTGTTAGGGTTAAATTCTTCTCCAGAATCGGTTCTTTGTACATCTTGCAAATTGTTTTCGTTTCTCTCCACCCCATGGCTATTTATATATCTGCTAGACTATTTTATTTCATTTTACTCAACTTTAATATGGGAAGTTTTGTCTGTATCTTTTGTTTCCTCTGATATGTGAATTCTTCTCACCTCAACTTGAAACAATTTATCTTTTCCCCATTCTTAGGTATACTTTAAGGACTGAATATTGCTTTCTATATTTCTTTTCTTGAAACCTAAGAGGGTGGGTGCAAAAGGCAATTTGAAGTCCTGGGTTTTGGTCTCTTGAAATTCTCTTAAATGTCTTGGTTCAGGGCTTATTTGTCCCAGATCTGGGTTAATCCCCTAGCTCATACAGGTGCGCTGGAATATGATGTTTTCCAGCAGTCTTAACTGTCTCTGTTGGGGTTCTACAGTGGTACCTGGGGATACAAATCTTGAGGACTTCTGTTTCTCTTGACTACTCATTTGCTTAATCTGCAAATTGCCACATTTGAAGGGATTAGTTAAGGAGCTTTGCCAAACACAATTTTCTATTTTCTTAGTCATGAATTTTTGAAGTCTATGACTGTGAGGCTTTATTTTTGAACCATTCGTTTGTGGTGGCTAATTTTTGGCTTTTGTATGGTATGTGTTGTTTTTCCCTAACTTTCACTCACCCAAAGGGAAATGACTTTATCATATTTTATATGATTGTTGAAAAATAATATAGAAATGTATAAGTAAGTCCTCCAGTAACCTCACTGCTTCTTCCCTAGATAATTATCATTAATAGTTGTAAATAGTTTTGGCATATGGACTACCAAACTGTCTAAATATACATATGTGGGTTGGGTTCCTAAGTTTTAATTTCTTTTCTTTTTAAAGGATGATACAATATACATGTTAAGTGAAAAAAGTGAAAGAAAAATAACTTTACAAACTCAATAATACAGACAATCACATAGAAAATGCACAAAAGACATTTCACCAAAGACAATATAGAGATGTCAGGCACACGAAAAGATGCTCAACATCTTTAGTCATTAAATAAATTTGAACTAAAAATCACAATAGATGCTACTACATACCCACTAGAATGACTAAAATTAAAAAGACTGACCATGCCAGTTGTTGGTGAGGATGTAAAACAACTGGATTTAAAAAATTCTTTTCTACATTTCTTTCTTGCTATTATAAACAACTGGAATTCTTATATACTGCTGGTGGGATTGTACAATGGCATGGTTACTTTGTAAAGCGTTTAGCAGTATCTTAAAAAGTTCATTGTGCATTTATTTACCTTGTGATTAAGTCATTTCATTTCTGGGTATTTACTCAAGAGAAGGGAAAGCATATGTTTATACAAAGACTCGTATGTGAATGCTCATAGCAGCTTTATTTGTAATAGCCCAACCCTGGAAATAACCCAAATGTCCATCAGCAGGTGAATGGATATACTGATTTCTTTATATGATGGAATACTACTCAGCAATGGAAAGAAATGAACTATTGATACATGCAACAGCATGGATGAATCTCAAAATAATCATGCTGAGTGAAAGAAGCCAAGCAATAAAGAGTACATACTGTATGGTTCTGTTTATGTAAAACTCTAGAAAATACAAACTAGAAAGCAGTGACAGAAAGCAGATCAACACTTACAGGAAGGGCAGGAGGGATTAGAAAGGGTCAGGAGGAAATCTTTGGGAGTGATAGATGTGTTCATTAACTTAATTGTGGTGATAGTTTTATAGATGTCTACATATGGCAAAATGTCAGGTTGCACACTTAAACATGTGCAGCTTATTTATGTCAATTATTACTCTAAGTGTAAAAGAAAAAAATTGTAGAACATCTTTCCGTGTCAGCACCAAGGATCTGTTTTATTATTTTGACATCTGTATGGTGTTTCATGGTATATGTGTACTGTGATTTTTATCTACACAGCCTTGGGTGGCTGACTCATCTGTTCCAGGTGATGAGGCCCCCTTTTTTCTTTGTTGGTTAAGGATAAGAATGGCTTTCATTTGCTGAACCTGATTAACATATCTGACATCATCAGTCAGAATGTAATTTCTGAAACCTACTGCTGCTGGTTGTCTGTGATCTCTTGTCTCATTGGACCCAGAAGACTCTTATTTATCCTAAATGTGAAAACAGATTAAGTGACCATAAATGATCTTTCCCATGAAATTATGGATACTCAGAGATAATTTAATTCAACCCCCTTATTTTTGCAGAAAAGAAAGCAGGATAAGTGATTTACCTGAGATCATACAGATAGTTAGAGCCCAGGGCTCCCATCTCTTAATCTATTTTTTACTACACAGATGTCAAATAATTGCCTTTTTGCCCTTGGGCTGTTTATATTAGCTCTGGATTGGTATATATTAATCTCTAGGAAAAAAATACAAGCAAAAACCACTCTCCATGGGACATCATTAAAACTACCCCTCTGGAGGAATGGTTCTGCTTGGGTTTTTTGGCAGGGATATGGGGGACAAAAGGGGAAAAAGGACGATTCTGAAGTAAAAAATGAAATCAAGCCCCCTGCTATGTCTTGTACTATACAGCTAATACATCTTTCAAGGAATGACCAACATTTCACCTCTTGCAAGTCCTAGATTTCAACCCTGCTGTCTATTTTCACAGAACTGTCACAAACGTCATGTGACAACTTGGAGAGTTTATTCTTTACTGGATTTTGGTTACCTCATTCTTTGTTCATCTATTAGTTTGTTTGATTGACAAATATCTATGAATGCCTACTATTTGCCAGGCATTGTTTTAGGCCCTGGGATACACTGCTGAATACAAAAAGGCCCGTTGTTTCTGGGGCTTAGATTTGGAGGGTGGAGATAAACAGATAATCAAGTAAATGTATGGTATATCAGATGTTGACAAGTGCTATGGAGAAAATGAAGTAGACCAAAGGTATAGGGAATGCCAGGAATGAATGTGTGTACATATACTATTTTCATTAGGATAGCCGGGGCAAGTCTTAATAATGAGGTAACATTTGAGCAAAGACATGAATCAAATGAAGGAGCAAACCCTTAGGGTATCTTAGTTTTAGTTTGGCACCTTTGAGTGATATGAAACTGAGTGAGAAAGGGAGGCCTTAGAAGGAGATGAGGACAGAGATGAGGTGAGAAGCAGATCATGTTAAGACTTTGGTGGCACTTGTAAGCATTCTGTCTTTTACTCCAAGTAAGAAAGATGGCTCTGAGGGACACAGCTTTATATTGTCTTCTTATGAAAAATGGAGGTAAAATTTATATAACGTAAAATCATCATCTTAACCATTTAAAAATATAAAATTCTGTGGTTGTTAGTACTTTGAGAACATTGTGCAATCATCACCACGATCTAATTTTAGAACATTTTCACCACCCCAAATAGAAACCCCATAGCCATTAAGTAATCACCTCTATTTACCCCAACCCCTAATCTGCTTTCTGTCTTGATGGATTTGCCTAATCTAGACATTGCCTATAAATTCAGTCATGCAGTATGTGGCCTTTTGTGGCTGGCTTCTTTCAAGTAGCATAATGATTTCAAAGTTCATCCATGTTGTAGCATGTATCTAGATTTCATTTTCTTATATTGATGAATAATTGGTTATATGAATATGCCACATTTTGTTTGTCTAGTCATGCATTGATGGACATTTAGGATGTTTCCACCTTTTGGCTATTATGAATAATGCTGCTATGAACATTCACGTAACGTTTTTGTGTGGACATTTATTGTTCAGTTCTGTTGTGTAGGTACCAAGGAGTGGAATTGCTGGGTCATATAATAGTTCTATGTCTGATTTATATTTTAAAAGCTCATTCTGGCTGTTGTGTTCTGGATAGATTGTATAGGGACAAGGGAAGAAGCAGGATTAGTTAGGAGGCTACTACAACCATCCAGGAGCTTGATGATGGTGGTTTGGACCAGAGTAATGGCAATGGAGGCAGGGAGACTGGATCAGAGTCTAGGTATACATTGAAGGTGATTTGCCAACAGATTTTATTTGTAATGTGAGAAAAAGAGTAACAGATGATTCTTAACGTTTTTGACTTGAGAAATGAAAGGAGAAATTTGCCATTTGATGAGACAGAGCAAAGAGCAGCTTTGGAGGAGGGTTAGGGCTCTGGTTTTGGGTTTGCTGTGTTTGAGACATCCAAGTGGAGACATTGAGTAGGCCATTGGAAAAACAAGTCTGGAGTTTGAGTACGAGAAAATTTGAGGCTGGGCACGGTGGCCCACGCCTATAATTCCAGCACTTTGGGAGGCTGAGGCGGGTGGATCACCTAAGGTCAGGAGTTCAAGACCAGCCTGGCCAACATGGTGAAACCCTGTCTCTACTAAAAATTCAAAAATTGGCTAGGTGTGGTGGCACAAGCCTGTAATCCCAGCTACTCAAAAGGCTGAGGCAGGAGAATCACTTGAATTCAGGAGATGGAGGCTGCAGTGAGCCGAGACTGTACCACTGCACTCCAGCCTGGGTGACAGAGACTCCATCTTAAAAAATATAAAAAATAAGTAAAAATAAATAAAATTGAGTTTTTAACTTATTGAGGATATTTAAAGCCATGAGAATAGATGAGATCATTTAGGGATAATTCTAAATAGAGAGGAGGAACAGCCCGAGGAAGAAGTTTGGACACCATTAAAATATTAGAGGTCTACAGGAGGAGTAGGGACGAGCAAAGGAGACTGAGAAGCAGCAGCCAGGGAGGTTGGAAGAGGAAACCAGGAGAGTGTGGTGTCCTGGGAGCCAGGGGAAGTTATTTGAGATATTCAAGGAAGAATGGATTTTTTCCCCCCTTTTCCTACTTCTCTCACTAATTCTTTGAGGTAAGGGGCCCCAGGAATGGTGTCCTTTCCTTGAAAGATGAGAACTGCTGTTTTGAATTCCCAGAGTCATCCTTCATGAAGGCAATTAAGCTAAAAAAGATTTCTGGTCACTTGAATACTGTCTTCTAGACATACTGCTTATTTATGGTTGTATCTCAGCCCCACTGAGGGCATTTATTCAAGAATTCAGTCAATAAAAATACTTGGGTACACACTCTATGCTAGTCTCTCTTCAAGGCATTGGGAACACATTGGTAAATAAGATATGTGGTCACTGGTCTTATGGAACTTTGCCGAATGGAGGAGAAAGACATTAATTTGTTTAAATTATTGAACAAAATAAATAATTTGTTTAAAAGACATAAACAAATAGTTACATATGTGGTGACTGTTGGTAAGAAATCAGGATGCTATGGGAGCACAGAGGAAGCTTACTAATCCAGATTTAGGGTAGGGGCGTGGCCTGAGAGACATGGAGGAATTGACATATAAGGAGAGATCTGAAGAAGGAGTAGATTTAGCCAGGTGAAGAAAAGTGGCCATTGTGAAAAGAACATCCTAGGCAGATAAAAGAGGGAAGATGGAGAGCTTCAGGATATTCAGAGAACCAAAATAGCTTCATCTTTCTGAAATATAAAGTTTGAGGAGGAGTGGGGGTGAAAGATGAGAGTGGAGAAGGGTGGCAGGGGCCAAATCATGTGGATATTCTTGCCATGCTAAGGAGTTTCAGCTAAATCCCAAAAGCAATGGAAAACTGCTCAAGAGTTTTAAAAGTATACTGAGGCTGGGTACAGTGGCTCACGCCTGTAATCCCAGTACTTTGGGAGGCCAGGGCAAGTGGATCACCTGAGGTCAGGAGTTCAAGACCAGCCTGGAACATGGTGAAACTCCATCTCTACTAAAAATACAAAAAATTAGCAGGGTGTGGTGGTGCATGCCTGTAATCTCAGCTACTTGGGAGGCTGAGGCAGGACAATTGCTTAAACCTGGGAGGCAGAGGTTGCAGTGAGCTGAGATGGCGCCACTGCACTCCAGCCTGGGCAATAAGAGTGAAACTTCATCTCAAAAAAAAGAAGTATTCTCAGCTGGGCACCATGGTGCATGCCTGTACTCCCAGCTACTCAGAAGGCTGAGGCAGGAGGATCACTTGAGCCTAGGAATTAGAGACTATAGTGCACTATGATGGCACCTGTGAATAGCCACAGCACTCCAGCCTGGGCAACATTGCGAGACCCTATTTCTTAATTAAAATTATTATATGTTTAAAGTACACCCATGTTTATTTTAGAAAAATCGCTCAGGCTACAATTGTGAACGGATTGGAAAGAGGCCTGACTAGAGGTAGAACCTGCTTCCTTTCAATATTGGCTCTTGGTTTTTATTGTAGTGTGCTATTTGAAGTGCCAAAGCTGAAAAGTGGAAAGAGTGCATTGGAAACTGAGAGTGAGAGTCTGGATAGCTTCACAGCTGACTCAGATAGCACCTCCAGGTGAGGTTTCCTCATTTCTCTCATCTCCACACTACCCAAGTTGCGATTTTGTTCTGCAGCATCAGTGTTCCTGACTTCTGTCCTCAGGAAGTTGAATGGAGTATTTCCTCTGACCTCACCAGAAGTCTTTTCCGTAGCACGTGTACTGATTTGGCTCTGAGCACAGCTTCCTGGATCATATTGGCTTCCCCAGTCAATTCCCCCAGTACCTTGGAGTATTCTTCTTAGCCCTGTAGCAACTGATGCTGCTGTCCTTTAAGAATGAGGGATCTGAGTGTTTGTGTTTGTGCAAAGTTGCTTATCTGATCTTCTGCATTCCTTCCAGGTAAATCAGATGTGAAGTATACCTTCTGAATTTGGTTATTACCATGACCCAAGGCACTGGCTTTCCTTCCATAGAGCTTTGATCTCTGGGTGCAAGGGGAAGGGGAGGAGGTGACTTAGTTATAACTTGTGAATCTATCTCCAGGAGAGACTCTCTGGAAAAATCTGGCCTCTTTCCAGAATGGAAGAAGATGTCTGTTCCCAAATCTCAAGTAGAAAAGGTAAGCTGCAGGTTACTGAGCCACCTTCCTTCCCTCCCTTCCTTCCCTTCCTCCTTTACCTCCCTGTCTCCCTCCATCTTTCCCTTCCTCCCTCCCCTTCATTCTTCTCTTCCTCTTTCTTCCCTCCCTCCCTCCATTCTCTTAGGCAGAATTTGAATCAGGAATTTAACTAAACAAATTTCAGTTCAGAGTCACTTGGGAGCATTTTCTAAGGTTTTGGTTGAAATGTGTGAGAAAATAGGTTTTGTACTATTCCTAGGCACATAATCTTTCCTTTAAGTTTGTCATAGTTTCGGGAAAATCTGAGCCTCATTCTTCTTAAGGCTATCCTTCCTTACTCCTTCTACCTGTCCATCTGTCCTTTTCCATTTTCGTGCCCTTGTTCCTTTCTAGGAAACTCAGCCTGGATGTCAAAATGTGGTATTTGTGGATGAGGGTGAGATGATATTTAAGAAGAATACCAGGAAAATCCTCAGGCCGTCAGGTAACTGGTTTCCCTTACTGGTCTTTTGGGACTAAAGTTCTGAGTACCCTTGATGGGCTCTTGGTAAGGAGAAGAATAGGTTTCTTCTGATTTGGCTTTTTGGTTTTCTCCTCAGAGTACACCAAGTCTGTGATAGATCTTCGCCCAGAAAGTGGCCCCTTGGGAGACAGAAGCAAATCTGTCCCAGGCCTCAATGTAGATATGGTAAGTGCCCTTGTATTTTACTGTCACTATATGAAATTTTATTTATCTAGATTTGGCTTTAGTACCTGAGATTCTCAATCAACCTATTTAATTCTTTAGGAAAAGGCAACATGAAACTTGATACCCCAAATTTCTGAAGTAAATCTGGTTCCTGATTTGCTTAAAGGAAAGGACTGTCTTTGCTATCTCTTTTCTTTCTTTCTCTTTCACAGTGTCTCACTCTGTTGCCCAGGCTGGAGTGTAATGGCACAATTATAGCTCAGTGCCACCTTGAACTCCTGGGCTCGAGCTGTCCTCTCACCTCAGCCTCCTGAGTAGCTGGGACTTTAGGCATGAATCATCATACCTGGCTAATTTCTTTCATTCATTTTTTTTTTTTTTGGGAGAGATGGGTGTCTCACTATATTGCCCAGCCTAGTCTGGAATTCCTGAGCTCAAGTAATCTACACTCTTCTGCCTCCCAAAGTGTTGGAATTACAGGCATGAGCCACCATGCCTGGCCATCTCTTTTATTTTCTAATAAATTGCTGGATATATGACTGGGGATCAAATAAATACTTCTCTTGGTTAAAATATAAAGAGATAGCTGGGTTGGGGAAAGTCTAATGGAAAAGAGTTATAGCTTTTATGAAAAACATTAAATATTCTTATCTTATTCTTTGAGATATGAGAAGGATGGTTGGAATAGAGCTGGGAAGCCTGAAATGGGAAGACATATAAAAAGAAGAATATGTGCATATACATACAACTCGGAGCTTTATGACAATTATGGCTCCCACTAAAGGAAAGGTGTTAGTCTTTGAAGCTAAAGAAAGGTATTTCTTTTATTAATTCTGAATCTATATTGTTCTAGGAAGAGGAAGAAGAAGAAGAAGAAGAAGAAGAAGACATTGACTACTTAGTGAAGTTACATCGCCAGAAGTTAGCCAGAAGCAGCATGCAAAGTGGCTCCTCCATGGTAAGTTCTATTAGATCTGTGGGTATAGGCATATTGGGGTGCTAGGAAGAAAAGAAGCACCTCCCTAGAGCAGACTCGGGACCTGGGGAAACCATCCTAGTCACTCTTTTCAGGTAAGTAAGATGCGTTTGTTTGTTCCTATCCTCAATTTAGACTATAGATGCTTAGTGTACATCTAGGTGACTTCCTGAGTCCCCATCCTGGAGATTATTACATATAGATAATTAAGGCTGGGGACATTCTTCATCACAGCTTTGTGAGCAATAACCTCAACTTATCCTTTAAAGAGGTACCCAGGCTGTGAAGTGAGCAAGATCAGATTTCTTCATCATAGCGCACTCTAAATTCCCAACATTAAAGGAAAGTGAGTGTCATGAGAGGGGCCCTGGCAGGGTTAGTCAACATCAGGGTATGGCTAACAATCAACAACACCAGTAAGGATAATGAAGTTAAGGGAACATTTATGAATCAGGGCCTGGTTCTGTTATAAGCATGGAGATTGATATTTAGGGAAAGAGTCAAGAACAAGAGTAAACAGAGTTTGTTCACATTCACAGGAAGAGAAGGTCAGCTCACAAGACCAATTACTACCAGAAAGGAAGGTGCCTTTTCACTTCTGGTCGGGTTTCCTCCTTCCCACTCACTCCCAATTCTGGCTGAATCTCTTTTCTCTATAGGTCCTGATAGACATAAGGTGGATAAGAGAAACCCACCTTGTTTTAGTTAGTGACTAACACCATTCTAGCCGATGTTTTAGTGTATATAACACAGTTCCCAAATGGACTTACGTGCACCTTGCCTCTGCTCCCTGCCCGCCTCCTGGGGCAGATGAAAATGAACACTAAAATTTGTACAACCAGGAGAAGAAGAGAAGCTAAGAGGCTAGGTGAGCCATGAACTGATTTATTCACCTGAACAGTTATGAGTCCTGGTAGTTCTCTTTTACCCTCTGGGTCAAGGAGTGTGGGCAGCACTGGATCATTGCAGGGGCTTCTGAATCTTCTGTTCAGTGACTGTGGCTTTATCATGAGGGAAGATATGAACAATGTGGCGGGGGTGGAGTGTGCCTTCCCCAGATGTTCGTGAGTGCTTTTTCTTCAGAGTACAATCGGCAGCATGATGAGCATCTACAGTGAAGCTGGTGACTTCGGGAACGTCTCTGTGACTGGCAGGATTGCCTTTTCCCTGAAGTATGAACAGCAAACACAGAGTCTCGTCGTCCATGTGAAGGAGTGCCACCAGCTGGCCTATGCTGATGAAGCCAAGAAGCGCTCTAACCCGTGAGTGCTTCTGGAACCTGACTGATGCTCTGAGACTGGAGAACAGACCCCAGCATCTGTCTGGGCACTCTTGAACAGAGCTTATCCCTTTCCTTGGGAGCAGGGAGGTGTGATGTAGGAAAGGAACCAGGATTGGGGAAAAAGCAAGAATGGCATGTCTAAGAGGGCTTGAGGTGACATTTTTGACATCACATATCACCATGCCATATTCATATGGAGAGCAGGAAAGTGAAGAGCAGGCTTGAGAAAGGCCAGCAAATTACTCAGTATACTCTTTGGTTTCTAGGTATGTGAAGACTTACCTTCTGCCTGACAAATCCCGCCAAGGAAAAAGAAAAACTAGTATCAAGCGGGATACCATTAATCCACTATATGATGAGACCCTCAGGGTAAGTATCTAGACCCCAAGGGTAGAAGAACCTGTTTTGTCTTGTGCCCGAGGCTGTAACTATTCCTCTGCAACATGGCCAGGTGACATGAGTTTCAGTGGGCCATGTCTGTGTGTGAGGATACATTGGGTACCTGTTCACATCCTGATTTCCCAGTGAAGAGAACAAAGGTGCTCCGCCTTTCCTGGATTGTTGTGAAGTTGGAGATTCACATGGCCACAAATCTCATTTTAAAAAGACATTTGAGATAAGGAATCTCCTTGTCAGTTGTTTTTGGACGACTCAGTATTCTCTCACCTACTCAAGGAAAATCTAATTTTCCAGATCTTCCTATGGAATATGGTAGGTTTTTTATAAAATGAGGTAAGTTGAGGCTTTGAGTGAGGAAACTCAAAGTGCTTAGGGAATATAAAGGAATTTGGTATTCAGGACTAGTGACTTCAGGAATGGTTGCTCAGGTTTTGGAATATTCTTGTCTGAGGAATTATCCTAAACTAATAATCATCTTGGGCTTCTACTTTCCCTTCCCAGTATGAGATCCCAGAATCTCTCCTGGCCCGGAGGACCCTGCAGTTCTCAGTTTGGCATCACGGCCGTTTTGGCAGAAACACTTTCCTTGGAGAGGCAGAGATCCAGATGGATTCCTGGAAGCTTGATAAGAAACTGGATCATTGCCTCCCTTTACATGGAAAGGTAGTCTGCTTTAATAACTCATGCAGTTTGGATTTGAGGTAGAATTGTCTGCAGTAGCCTCTGCTGGTCTATGTTGGTAGTGTCTTTGAATGTAGTCTTCTCTGGAGTTCTAGTGTCCCCTGCTGGTGTTTCTGAGTTTGACAGCAATTTCAGAGGCATTTGTACATCCAGCGTGCTGTGTAAATCAGGCAAAGTATGAAGCCATGGTTTTGCTTTGAAATAATGTTCATATGTGTCCTAAGCTTTGCCTCCTAACCTTCCAGAATCTGGGTGTATCCTAACATCCTAACTCACACCTCTTCTCCAAGCTAACCTTCTGTGTATATCCTAATCTGCACCCTTTTGCCAAGCTACCGCTTTACTTCCAAGGGGGAAGTAAAGCAGTTCATGGAGCTCCAATTGCTATACTCTTGGTCACAGAGGCCAGGGAAAATATAACTTTGGAGATGGCAATTCGGGCCAGAGTGTAGCAATATGGCATAATCACGCCTGGGATCTGAGTGCAGACCTGTATTGGAATCCTGGTTCTGTCACTTGCCAACTATAGATGAGTCACTTACCTTATAAAATAGGGTAGAGAAATCATCTGGTTAAGATGAAATTGCTAAAACAGGGGACTTATTTAGCAACTTCTCGATTATCAGAACTATACAATGATATGACAAAGTTCATCTTTAGTTTTTTTTACACTAGCATTTTAAATGTTTAAAACAATACATGGTCCATAAACTATCTTTGGGAAGTTAGATGAGAAACTAGTCATGGTGGCTGCCTCTAGGAATGGAGACTGAGGTAGAAGGAATATTTAGTTGTCTCTATATCCCCCTTTTAAGCATTTGAACTTTTAACCATGTTAAGAAAATTAAGCCAAAATGGACTTATATACACAAGGTTCAAAATTAAAATAATGTAAAGTATATTAAATGGAAAGTAGGTTCCATTCCCTAGAAATAATCACTGTTAACAGCTACTTGTGTATCTTTCTAGAAATTTTGTATGGCCGGGTGCAGTGGCTCATGCCTGAAATCCCAGCACTTTGGGAGGCGGAGGCAGGTGGATCACCTGAGGTCGGGAGTTCGAGACCAGCCTGACCAACATGGTGAAACCCCATCTGTACTAAATACACACACAAAAAATAGCTGGGCGTGGTGGCACATGCCTGTAATCCCTGCTACTTGGGAGGCTGAGGCAGGAGAATCGCTTGAACCGGGAGGTTGAGGTTGCACTGAGCCAAGATTGCGCCATTGCACTCCAGCTTGGGCAACAGAGCAAAACTCTGTCTCAAAAAAAAAAAGAAAAAGAAAAAGAAAAAAAGAAAGACATTTTGTATTAAGCAGCCCAGATATGCATCCGTGTATTTATATATATATATATATATATATATATATATATATTTTTTACACAAACGGTCTCACATGAACCTCATTGTACACATCTCTTTTTTTTTCGTTTAACAATATATCATGGACATCCTTTTGTGCCATCACTTAGAGATCTATCTCATTTTAATTGTCGCTGCATGGTATTTTTTCATGTGCCTGTATTACAATTTGTTTACCATTCCCCCACTAATAGACATTTAAATTGTGTGAATTCCTTTTTGCTCTTAAAACTATTCTATAATATATTTTGGTCTTCTTTTGTGAATGTAACTGTCAGAGAAATTCCTGTTGGTGGAATTGCTGAGTGAAGGGAAATATACATCTAATATTTTGATATCTGTTGCCCTTGCAAAAAAAATAGTGACAACATTAAATTTTCCCTTTAAATACTAATAAAAACAGGAATGCATTCAATAGCACAGTAAGATGATGATAGTCAACAAAAATATGTGTATTTCAAAATAGCTAGAAGATTTGAAATGTTTCCAATGCAAAGAATTGATAAATGTTCAAAGTGATGGCTATAACAAAATATCACGTGTACCCCATAAATACATGCTAGTATTATATATCAATAAAAAGACAGGAAAGAAATTATTACCAAACTATAACATATTATTACAAATTTAGAATTTCTTAACCATTTGGCACCCAAGTCATTCTCTACAGTCAATATAATTACATTGGAAATGTTGCTGTAAACCATCATGAACTACTGCGAATAAAACTGCTTTATATAAAGAGAAGAAACCACATTAACATGGTGATATTTGCTCTTTGCAAATATTTGGAGCCAGAATAAAAATGTGCTACTGAAACAAATATACCAGTTTTTAGCTAATGCTAAACTCCAATGAGAGTCCACTGAAACTCACAGAAATTTTCTAAAACATTTTCTAGAAATGAATAAATTGTGTAGACATTTTATAAACAACCAAAAAAGCCATCCCCATATTATGTATTGATTTTAATTTCTACATTTGTCATTTATGGTTTTCTTTTCATTTTTCCCCTAGCGATCCATTTGCTCCCATGCAGTTTTCCCTTGCCTGGATCAATCTCCTGATTCTTTTGTGTCTCTCACATATATTAAACTATATCTTCTGAGTATGGTACATTGATCCAGACCTATGGATTATTGGCTTCCCAGCATTGGTGAGGACCTAGGTTAGCCAATTAACACAGGCAAGGCCAGGCGTGGTGGCTCATGCCTGTAATCCCAGCACTTTAGGAGGCTGAGGTGGGTGGATTGCTTGAGCTCAGGAGTTCAGGACCAGCCTGGGCAACGTGGTGAAACCCCATCTCTACAAAAATTAGCTGGGTGCGGTGGTGTGTGCCTATAGTCCCAGCTGCTCGGAAGGCTGACACTGGAGAATCACTTGAGTTTGGACTCAGGTTACAGTGAGCTGAGATCGCGCCATTGCATTCCAGCCTGCCTGGGCTGTGGGAGTAAAACACTGTCTCAAAAAAAAATATATATATACAAGCAGGTAAAAGGGCATCTCTAGTCTGCACCAGCTCATGCTCTAGATATTGAAGCATAAGGAACAAAGTCATTCAGAGAGAGCCAATTAGAGTGAAGCAGCTCTGCCAACCAAAGCCAAAGACAATAGGCCACCTGCTACTCATCCCATTCATTCATTCATTCATTCAGTAAATATTTATGGAGCACCTGTGCCAGGTACTTTGCTAAGTGTTGGACATACTTGGATGAACAAAAATAGGCTTCATTCCTGTCTCCTGGCCCTTCGACTTGAATGGTAGAGACAGACGTTGATCAAAGATAACTTAAATAAATGTAAAATTTATAATTGTGGCATATTCAAATTCGTGTAACAGAGTTTCACCTGGCCTTCAAATCTTTGCAAGCCCTCTTTTTTTCTTTTTGATGGGGAGGGACAGGTTCTGGCTCTGTTGCTCGGGCTGGAGTGCAGTGGTGTGACCTTGGCTCACTGCAACCTCCGCCTCCTGGGTTCAAGTGATTCTCATGACTTAGCCTCCCAAGTAGCTGGGATTACAGGCCCACACCACCACATTAGCTAATTTTTGTACTTTCTGTAGAGATGGGATTTTGTCATGTTGCCTGGGCTGGTCTTGAACTCCTGGACTCAAGCATTTGCCCACCTCAGCCAACTGCTGGGATTACAAATGTGAGCCACTGCACCTGGATGAACGTCCTCCTTTTTTTTTTTTTTTTGCAAGCCCTCTTTTTAAAAATACGTTGTGTTTTTAAAAATCATACAAATGATATAAACTATTCTCATTAAAAAGACACTAAATGTGAATATAGAGTGAAAAAGTAAAAGCATTCTTTCCTTTCCCTATTCTGTTCCCCTCCCTAGAGGAAGTGAGGATAAATTTGTCCGAATCTTGGGTTTTTCTATGCAGTGTAGTATAGTCTTCAAAAGCATGGACTCTGGAACCAGTCTGTCTGAATTTGAATCCTGGCTCTGCCAATTACTGTGTGACCTTGAGCAAATTACTTAACTTCTCTGTTCCTCTCTTCCATCACTTGTAAAATGGGGATAATAGTACCTATCTCATAGAGACAGTCATCAAACCAAATGAGACATTTAATGTGCTTATAACAGTGCCTACCACATAGTAAGGGCTAATATAAGTGATAATGATAATCATCATTTATATACATATATATTTACATGTACAAATATGAATATATTTTAATATAAGTGGGATATTTTTCTGCATCTTGCTTTGTTGACTTAACCCTACACCTTGGATATCTTTCCATGTCAGCATGTACTGATTCACTGCATTCTTTTTGATGGCTGTAAGCCATATGCCTTACAAGGACACTACAATTATTCCTTTAACTCTATCTATATTGATTGCCATTTAGGTTGTTTTCACTTTTTGGCTATGACTAGCAATGCTGGTAGCACGATTCTCCATCATGGTGTCAGTCCATTGTGAGTTTGTATGGCAGCCTTGCTTGAAGATCTTTGAGAGTATTTGGAATTTAGTAACTATACCCCCAAAGTGGCATAATAGTGGGTATTGCAGAAGACTCTTTGTTGGTTCTCCTTCTAACGAAACTGCCTTAGAAACCTGGGGCTGCCATGGCCTAGGGACCCTGGATTATATTCATATGAAGAAGTATCCTCTTTTGCCCTGATGCTGTTCTTGGGGGATAATTTTAGAATTTTCTCAGGGAGAGGTCCCAACAATTCCTGAGAAGCCCAGCTTGACCTGTTGGGTTTCCCTATGTTTCAGATCAGTGCTGAGTCCCAGACTGGCTTGCCATCACACAAAGGCGAGTTGGTGGTTTCATTGAAATACATCCCAGCCTCCAAACCCCCTGTTGGAGGTGACCGGAAAAAGAGTGAGTTTTCTTTGGGGACCTGGATTTAGCTCTTAGTCTTCTGCACAGATTCTGTGCAAGGCTGGTGCTGGCTACTGGCCAGCACTATTGGAGAGATCAGATTGGGATGTTCCCTGGATCTGCTCGGGAGATTCCTTTACTAGGGAAGCCTCTTGGTGTTTTTTTCAACCAGAAGGGAATGCCTTAGAGTTGACATTCTTTTCTTTTTTTAGGCTATTAAATGGACTTGGTCTTGGTCCAGCTGTGGCAAGCTACAGAAACTTTGGGGCTGAGAAGGGTGGCTAGGAGAGGTGGTAAAGTATAAAGGACAGGAAGTTGCAGGTTGAGGAAGAGTAATTCAACATGCCAGGCACTGTGTTAGTGACTACAGTTGTGTAGATGAGTAAACCATATTTGCTTTCCCTTGAGGAGCTTAAGTTTTGCAAGAAAGACAGTCATGTGCTAAAAGGACACAAATATAGGAGTGGTGAATTATGTCTGGTTACATTTGGGAGAGCTTTGAAGAAGAAGTAACATTAAAACTGGACCTTAAAACTTTACCAGACACAAAAGGAGGATGAGGAGAGAAGAGCATTTTCAGAAGAGGTTAACATGAGCAAAAGTTTTAAATGTGGGGTTGTATGTGCGTGTGTCTCTTATTTTAGTGGGATTGGAGTTTTTTTGGTAAGCTAGATGTGGGTGTGGGGCTGGAGTGTGACATGAGGTGGGAGCCTGACTGAAGAGGGCCTTGAACTTAAAGAGTTTCACTTGATCCATTGGCAATGTGTAGCCCAAGTTCTTTGAAAAAATATACCTTTGGCAGAGTCACATCTAGAAGGTTTGGGGGAATCAATGAGATCCCCCAATGAGGGTATGTAGGGTGACTAGAGAAGAGAGACAAGTATAGAACCAGAGAGATCAGGAACATGTTAAAAGGTGAGGAGAGAAAGAAACATCAGTGATGTAAAAGGTTATCAGGAGAGAGCTTCAAGAAGAAGGGGTGGGGGTTATCAACAGTATTGAAATACTACAGGGGGGTCAGACCAGATTAGGTCTGAGAAGACATGGCTAATTGGCATTAGATTGCATTTTCAGTGAAAGCAGAAATCAGATTTCACTATAAACTAGGCTGAGTGAATGGACAAAGAAGTAGAGGTGGTAAGTGTAGACTTTGTTTTTCCTCAGGGTAATTGATGGTGAAAGAAAGTAGATGGAGAATAGCTTGAAGAAGAGATAAGATTAAAGGGAGATTTTCTTTTAGAGGTTTTTTTTTTTAAAGAGATGAGATTAGTATATATTTAGACTGAGGGGAAGGGACTAGTGGAGAAAGAGATATTTAAATTGGGAGGTGGGGATTGAAATTGATGATGTCTGATGAGTCCTGTGAAGTGGGGATGGAATCAAGAACTCAAATGGAGGAGTTCCCTCTTTTTTAAATCATTAAACCTATATCAGGCAACTTTTTGTCTCTAAGCCTCAATTTCCTCATCCATAAAATGAGGGAAAAAATAGTGTGATTCTCATAGAGTTGTTTTGAGAATTAAATGCTTAACATAGTATCTGGCACATAGCCAGTTTTCAATAGGCATTTATTGATATTGTGGTTGTTATTAGTAGAGCGCCCATTGCTTACTGGCGGGCACTGTGCTAGGCACTGAGGAGACAGGACAGGCATGGTTCTGTTATGGAGCTTGCTGTCTTTAGGAGCAAGGAAAGAAAGTGTTGCATAAAGAAGGCTCAAAATGAATCTAGAGGTGTAAGGGGCTCACTTGCTATGGCTGACATCCCTTACAGGTAAAGGTGGGGAAGGGGGAGAGCTCCAGGTGTGGATCAAAGAAGCCAAGAACTTGACGGCTGCCAAAGCAGGAGGGACTTCAGACAGCTTTGTCAAGGGGTGAGTCCCTCGACCAGCCTCAAACTAACCAGTTTCAGAACAAGAGAGAGCTAAGGGAAGAACCCAATTTAGCTTTCTCTGTGGATATTATCCAGTGTGTCCTACCACTCCCAGCAACCAAATTTGTTACTGAAATTAGGTAATGGCGAAACCTCCACCACCTTTGCACTGGTCTGAGCCCAGTTTTGACTGGGCTGTAGTGTTGATAACCCAAAGAGGAGGGTTGTAGACAGGTTCTGACTTTTGTCTGACTCATGCTCTTAATTCTGGATAAAAGTCTGTGTGTTCTGACTGTCTATATTTGGGAACTCAGGTCTTTCCCCCCCCAACAATTTTTAACCTTTCCCCAAATTACAGATCACCCACTGACTTAATTTATCTAGAAATCATGTTTGGCTGAGCTTATAGATATTACTGTTGGTTTTGTTTAAAGAGATAAATTGTCTAGTAGAAACAGAGCCAAATATTTAAAACCCGTTTTCAGTGGAGCACAGAATAGCCTCACTAATACTCTTATATTCACTTTCTCTCTAGGTTAAAGGAATTGAATCAGGTGAATGATGTAGTAGAGGCAGTGGGAACTGTGCTTCAGCAGATTCAATGAGGGGCGTGTGTACTAGGATCTGGGTGTGGGTTCATCTTCCTGGGCTAGGCCTGTGATAGGGGAAAGGGGAATTTAGAGAGATACTGCCAGCTTTGGGTAGGCTGTTGATTACTCCCTACCCTCTGCCAGATACCTCCTTCCCATGAGGAACAAGGCCAGTAAACGTAAAACTCCTGTGATGAAGAAGACCCTGAATCCTCACTACAACCATACATTTGTCTACAATGGTGTGAGGCTGGAAGATCTACAACACATGTGCCTGGAACTGACTGTGTGGGACCGGGAGCCCCTGGCCAGCAATGACTTCCTGGGAGGGGTCAGGCTGGGTGTTGGCACTGGTGAGATCCCCTCCCCTATCCTTTCTTGTTTAAAAGGCTTCTTGTCTATTTTACTCCTAATACCACCCCTCCCCCCAACACACAAAGCTCCTCTGTATGACAGTTGTCTTCTTTCCTTTCAGTAAATATTCAGCCAATACTTATTGAGTGCCTACTATGTGTCAGGCCTAGGGGAAGGATGAGCTCATGCACTGATATGTGTACAGATAAATGTGACCCTGATTGCCAGGAACTCCATCATATTCCCACCAAAAAAAATCTACAAACCTACCTATATGTATATACCTATACATTCCATCCTCCATCCTGTTAATAATGAAATAAGGGTCCTTGCTAGCAAAAGCTAAGCTCTCTGCAAGTCCTCTGGACCACCTCCCTCCCCCTTCTCAATGACCTCACTTCTATAATCTTCATGTCTCAGTTTTATCCTCCCTACCTACCAGGGTTAAATACAGATATGCTCCGGTATTTCCAATCTTATGAAATGAAAATAAACCTTCCCTTGACCACACTCTAGTTTCTTAAAAAGAATTGCCTCCACTTCTCACCTCTCCTTCAGCTCTCCTTCACTGTGATCTGGCTTTTGTCTCACCATTCTACTGAGCAGTTGCTCTTGCCAAAATGTTGTTCTCATCTCACTAGAACTTTTAGCATTATTCAACATAGTGGATCACTCCTCTTTGCTTGAAACACTGAGCTTCTATTGACACTGTACTGTGATTCCCTTTTAAGTCACTGCTCACCCCTTCTCAGTTTTCTTTGTAGGTGCTTCATTCTGTACCCAAACTCTAAATGTTGGTGCTTTGCAGAGCTTAGTCTCGGATCCTCTTCTTTGCCCTCTCTGCCAGTCTCTGCACTTGTATATTAATATACTTATATATTAATAATCACACAGAGCATTTAACATGAAGCATCTGGACCGATTTTTTCACACATGTAAGCTAATTCATGTCAGTTTCCTGTTAAAATCTCTCAGTGGCTTTCTATTGTGCTTAGAAAACGATCCAAAGTTCTTATGCCTCCAGGCCCCTGTGTAACCTGGGCCCTCTATTCCTTTCTGATCCGTCTTGTATCACTCTTCCCCTTGTTCACCATGCTTCAATCACAATGACTTTCTGCTCTCCAAA